CTGGGGGTGCCCCCGGGCTGTCTAGGGGGGCTGGGGGTGTCTCTGGGGTGTCGGAGGTGTCTGGGGGTGTCCCCAGGCTGTCTAGGGGGGCTGGGGGTGTCTCTGGGGTGTCTGAGGTGTCTGGGGGTGTCCCCAGGCTGTCTGGGGGGGCTGAGGGCTGGCTGTGCCCCCCAGGTACGTGGAGAGGGTGTCAGAGCTGCTGAAGCAGAAGCTGAAGCAGGCAGAGCTGCTCCTGGCCAAGAAGGAGGTGATGGCCCAGAAGCGCCGGGAGGCCCTGGCAGAGCAGGGATCCCTGGAGCCCAAGCTCGACCGGCTGCTGGAGAAGACCAAGGAGCTGCAGAAGCTGGTGAGGGAGGTGGGGGGACCCCCTCAGGAACCCCCATTTGCCCCCTGCCCGCTCTGAGCCCCCCGGTGTGTGTTGCAGATCGAGGCCGACATCTCCAAGCGCTACGGAGGGCGCCCCGTCAACCTCATGGGCATCAACCTGTGACCCCCCAGACCCCCCCTTCACACCCCGGGGGTGCTGCTGGGTGGCCCTGGCCTCGCTGAGGGGGGTGGATTTGGGGGAATAAAGCAAATTCTCCCACTCATCCATCTGGATTTTTGGGGCAGAGGAGCCCTTAAACCCCCCAAGGGTGGTCCCAGGGATGTGGGACCCCCCATGTCCTGGCCTTGGGGTGGCCCTGGTGGGGGGGGCAGCCCTTCTTGGGGGGGGTGGATTTTGGGGTACAAACGAATTCTCCCACTCATCCATCTGGATTTTTGGGGCAGAGGAGCCCCTAAACTTCCCAAGGGTGATCCCAGGGATATGGGACCCCCTGTCCTTGGGATGGCCCTGGGGGGGGGGGGAGCAGAAAACCCCCCTTGGGGGGGGTGGCTGTTGAGGAATAAACCCAGTTCTCCCACCCCTCTGGATTTAGGGGGGAGAAGAGGAGCCCCTGAACCCCCCGAGGGTGATTCCAGGGGTGCTGCAGCTCCACGCCCTGTCCTTGGGGCGGCCCTGGAGGGGAAGGGGAGGGCCGAGCGGCCCCCCCGTGCTGACAGCCCTGCCCGGGGGGGGGCGGCGGGGGGCGATTGGATTTTAATTTCATAGCAGAGCAGTTGATTCATGGCCGGGTGTCGCCGGCGGTGACGCCTGTAATGACTTTCCGAGGCGGGCGGCCGCCGACTGACACCGCTCATTATTCCTGGCGCTCGTTAGCGAGGGGGGGCCCCGCGCCCCGCCGGACAGTGAGCGATGGCCCCCCATTAATCACCCCCCGCATCGCCCCCCCCGGCCCTACTGGGCTCTACTGGGACGTACTGGGCTGGGCAGGGCTGGAGCCCCGCCCCCTCCAGGCATCTTTGGGGCGGGGTCTGCCACGCCCTCTGACGTCACGACATTACATTGGTCCCCGGGGGGGTCTTGTCCCACCCCCCCCGACACGTCACAGCTGCTTATGGGGCTGGGTCTGCTGTGGGACCACCCCCCAGGCCGGGGTTGGGACCCCCAATGGGGCAGGGGGGTCCCTAACGGGGCAGGAGTGTCCCCAATGTGGCGGGGGGGTCCCCAATGGGGTAGGGGAGTCCCAATGGGGCAGGAGGGTCCTCAGTGGGGCAGGGGGGGTCCCTAATGGGGCAGGGGGAGTCCCTAATTTGACAGGGGGGTCCCCAGTGGGGCGGTGGTGCAGCCGTGGGGGTCTGTCCCCTCATCCCTAGGGAGCTGGGGGTTCCTGGCCCCATGGAATCCACTTGGGGGGGATGTGGGGGCTCTTGACCCCCTGGGATCTTTTTCTGAGGTTTCCTGGCCCCATAGGATCCACTTGGGGGGATGTGGGAGCTCCTGGCCCCATGGAATCCAGCTGGGGGGGAATGTGGGGGCTCCTGGTCCTATGGACCCGGTTGTGGGGGGTTCTGACCCCATGGGATGCAGCTGTGGGGCTGTGGGGGCTCCTGGCCCGTGGGGTTTTGGGGGGATCCCATCCCCCGTGGGGCTGCCGGGGGGGGCTGTGCCGTTTACACCCGGACCAAGACGTGGGGCTGTGTGGGACTTCTGTCCCCATCCCTGTCCCTGTCCCCATCCCTGTCCGTGTCCCCATCCCTGTCCCCATCCCCATCCCTGTCCCTGTCCCCATCCCTGTCCCCATCCCTGTCCCCATCCCTGTCCCCCCCAGCCGTGGGGCTCACGGGGTGCAGCCCCCCGGGTGCATCACTCGGGGGTCCCAGCCCGGCTCCAGCTCTCCCCCCCCCTCGGTGCCCCCCCCCGGGGGTCGCGCCGAGACAGCCGGGCTTGGGGGAGCCCCTCATTACCCCGCTAACGGTGATTAACGGGCTAATTAAGCGGTGTCTGCCGCTCCCGGCTGGCTGCGGGCGGAGCCGGGGGGCGCGGAGGGTCCCTCCGTGAGGACGGGGGGGGGTCCTGGGGTGGGGGGTCTGGGGGTTACCGTCACCCCCGTCTCCATAGCGAAGGCATCCGGCGCGGGGGGGTCCGGCCATAAAGCCCCTTTATCCCTGGAACTAACGCCCCCCCGCCGCGGGGGTCGCTCGGCCCCCGGCCCTTGACCCCCCCTGACCCCCCCCGGGACCCCCGGCCCGCCCCGCAGGTCCCGGCGGGGGCAGAGGGCAGAGACCCCGCGGGGGGTTTGATGGGGAATTCAATGGGGTCAGGCGGTGCCCCCACCCCGTGTCCCGCCACCGCCCCACCACCACCCAGTGGGCCCCCCCCCAGCTTTTGGGGCTTCCTTAGGGCCTTATGAATATCCCGGGGCCCCTTTCCCAGCTTCTGGGGCTTCTTTAGGGCCTTATGAACATCCCTCCCCATGGCGGGTGAAGGATCGGCCGGCGCCGCCCGATCGCTGTTCCCATTATCCCGGACATTCCCGGGAGACAATGACGGGAAGATAAAACACTCCCGGCCCTCCCCGCTGCTGGGGTGGGATGGGGGGGCTTGGGTGGGTTTTCTGCCCACTCCTCACCGCTCCCCGTGTCCCTTGGGATGCGGGGATGGAGGGATGGAGGGGATGTGGAAAGAGGGAGCACGGACCAGGGACAAGGACCAGGGGTGTGGAGGGGACATGGAAAGAGGGGACATGGACCGGGGGAACACGTGGATGGACGGGAGAAGGACCAGGGGGACGTGGGGAGAGAGGGGACAGGGACAAGGGGGACACACGGATGGAGGGGACACGGACAGAGGAGACACAAATCAGGGGGGACAAGTGGATGTCAGGGACAAACAGTCCAAGACAAGGAGCCACTCCCCGAATTTCTGGGGTCCCCTGCAGGTCCCTGTGCCCCGTGTGTCCCTGTCCCCTCCCTGGCTGTCCCCGGCCTGCCAGGCTGCAGAGGGGGGTCCGCGGCCCTGGGGGGGCTCAGGGCTGGGTTTGCTCCAGACAAAGGGATGGGACAGGGCTGGGAATGGGGATCAACCCCCCCCCCCCAGCCCTGATGGTGCCGGGGAGCGGCTCCTCCTCCCCCCGCCCCCCCGGGGGCCCGGCTGCCGCTCCATCTCACCTGCCAGGGAGGGATTTAATTACCAATTAAGGTCCCTCCATCTGTCCCGGCCCTGTCCCCGCGTTCCCGCTCCCGTCACATCCCTGACATCCCGCTCGCTCCATTAACTGCCGGGCGCAGCCGGGAGCCGGCGCGGGGGCGGCCCCGCGGCCCCACCATCTGGGGGGCGGCCCGTGCCCCCCTCCCGCTGCCCCCCAACCCTCCCCAACCACCCCCCCGGAGTCCTTGTGTGTCCCGTGCATCCCCCCCCTCCATCCATCCATCCATCCATCCATCCATCCATCCATCCATCCATCCATCCATCCAT